ACCCAGGCACATTCTCCAGTGCTCCATGGAAAAGGTACACAGAAAAAAGGCCAGGTCATTCCAGGAGAGAAAGAGCACTACACACTACAAAATAAACAGACAGTCTCACAGGAGGTAAAGAAATAATTTTGTGTCAAGGCTAAAGGGAAAAAATGTAATAGTAAAGCTGCCCCATCAGACCAGAATACAGCAGCAACAGTGATTTGCCATGTGAGAACAGATGGCCTGTGCCTTTAGGAAACAGGAGGCAATGGGGAACTTCAGTCTCCTCATGCACATCAGACTATATTACAAAGATGAAATTTTAAATATAACTTACAAATAATTCCACTTTGTTGAAGAGAAATGTATCACCTTAAAAAAAAAAAAAATAAAAAGAACGAAAATCTTTGGCCAATGCAACTTCCACTTTGTTTTAATTCTGACTTACTGGGCCAGCAGAAGGTTTTTAGAATAGAAGACGTGTGCAAAAGAAGAAAACAGTACAAATGATTTCAAGTGATGATGTTTTTTCCTGATGATGTAGAACAGGTTAAGTAAATTCTTCTGGATATTTTCTACCCATATGTGATGAGAGGCCACCCAGCCAGTCTGCTAAATGATGGGCAGATAAGAAACAGAAAGACTTAAGGAAATATCAGAAAGAAGATATCTAGGATTTTTGGCTGCTGCTTGTTTTGAAGAGCTCTGCAGAGGATCTGGAAAATCAGTCTTCCACAACAGACATGTTTAGAAAACTGAAGATTAAAAATTAAACTAAGTGGCAGGCAGGAGGGAGAAGCCCTGATTTATAGATGTGTTAGGATAGGTGAGGTGCTATTAGGAAGACTCAACAACCACATGTGTGGTCTCAGGCCACAGGCCTTGGAAATGAGGATGTTCCAGGATAAAACTAAAGTTTCTCTAAAACTAATAACTGGCTAAAAGAGAGGAAAACACATAGGAATGCAGAGTAGGTCTCACGACAGAGTGCTCTTAGCACACATGTGACACCTTGTGTGCATGGAAAATGACTCAGGCCAACAAACAAAAAGGCTGAAAAGCTGCACCCTGCACCCCCAAGGGGATCAGGGCTGTGACCAGGGCAAGCACAGTGTGCCCATCTTCTCAGCCTTTCCTTGAGCATCATCTCTTGGTCACTGGTAAAGGACTGGAGCAATCCAGGGGTTTGGCCTGAGCAGCTGAGTGATCCTGAAATCAAAACCTTTTCACCAAACATCAATGGCTCCCTTTGTCTTTTCCTGTCTGACTGGGAGGCCACCAAAGCTTTGCACTCAGCAGCTCCTGGGCTGACAGAGGGCCTGACAGCATCTCCTGCTGCACAGACAGAGAGGAATCCACTTCCATCTGCCTCAGCTGACACCAGATCTCTTTCTGAAGGCTGGGATGCCTCAATTCTCCTAAGAGGAAATCTGTGCCCACAGGCATTCTCTGCTCTCCATGGCACCTATCTGGCTGGAGCCAGCCCAGGAGTATCCAGTTTGTTCCTTTCATATTGCTCACCAAATTAAAGATGACACAGCCTGACACCAAAAGGAAGGGGTTTCCAAACACATCTTGTTTGATTAGCTCTACAGTCCATCACACTGTCAACATCTTCCTTCTCAACCACAAAAAAAATATCCTTTCCCATGCATGCAGCTCTTGAGCAGAGGAAGAGGCCCAACAGAAAACACTGTGGGACTGGGTAAGACCAAGAGGGACCAAGGGATTTTTTTGTGAATTGGGATTGTGAATCCCATGAGAAACCTACTGTGGCAGTTTTACATTTTCCCCTTTGAGTCTTTCAATATATTGATGTATCCACCAGTGTCCAAAAAAGCAGAAAAGTTCATGTGAAAAACCACTCAATACATTAATGTCCAAGACACATTGCCATTGCTAGATTATTTTCCATATTTTTGGGGATAACTGCTGTGGCTCTCAACACTGTGATCCACAGTGGATCTCTGTTGTGGAGAAGACCATGGATTGGTCTGACCAACAAGGATTGCCCCTGTCCACTTCAGAGCTGGGCAAACTCTCACCTGCAAGGGAGTCTCAATTTTCAGATGCACCACGTAAAAGCCACACCATCTCCCTCACCTCTCATTCCTGAAGTTTCAACAAATACCCAGCAGCTTCTCCCACTCTTCCTCTGGACTAGGGAGGGAGGTCTCACAGCTGGCCTTCCTTATTCCTCCCTCTCAAAGCAATCTCAACATTTATTCCAAAGGGACTGTGTCCCACAATGACATTTAAGGGGATTTCATGATGTTTCAAAGGAATACCAATTTTTTTTGGTGATCTTTGATGGAAGAAGGGGAGGGAATCCCTGGTTGTGTCCCCTCTGTATCTTGCTCAGTAAACCAGCAGAGCTAAAAGAGTTTTTTAGCAAATGCTTCCACAATGGCTCCAGCAAATATTCAGACTGTGCCTTGCAATACTCAAAGTGGAAGATACCAACAAAGCCCACATGTCCTTAAAAATTAAGGAAGTTTATGAAGTCCTTGAAGACTTTATAAACACCTATTCCTCCATAAGGACCTATTTTCTGTCCTCTGCTCTGTTTTCAAAGTGAATCAATGTTACTGGAAGGTCACTATGGAGTTTGGCAAACAAATCTAACCCAGGAGCTTCCCAGGATGAGGAACCGCTCCTGAAGTGTTTTCTGGATGCTGTACATTGATACACACACAGGCAAAAAACCGAAAGGACACAGTTGAAGAGATGAGCCCACAGCAGGACCCATGTGAGAGGAGTACAAACCATCAAGTAATGAGTCAATGAGTCAATCTCTCAATAAGAGAGAGCAAGAAACAGCAAGAAGGGATTCCCACACTGGAGATAGAGAAGAAAGATGGATTTGGCTCTTCCTGGATCTGGCTGATCATTCCTGCTTTGGAAAACAAGTGCCAACTGCTTCCAGTGGAGGGGAGCTGCAGGCTGCCTGCTGCCCTTACCAACAAACACTGGGGATGGAGAGGGAAGGAAATCCACACATGGGCCATGAGCACCACTTGATCAGCACCAACACTGGGAGCTGAAGGAATACATTTCCTAGCACTAGAGACACTCCTTTCTGGAGGACCAAGAGCACTGATAGGGATCTGATTCTCCCTTGAGGACTATTCCAAAAAAAAAAAAAAGAAAGGTTAGGCAGGTGTCTCCGAGGTGTGATAAAAGTGTCCTACAAGAGATTCCAGTGTTTTATTTCTAACAGCAGTGAATACCACATACAACATTCATGCGCACCACATCTCAAAAGTTTCTGATTCCACCTATATATCACCAGGAGGAGGATGCTACTTGTGAGCTGGATGATCACTGGCACGAAAAGGAAGAAAGCCAGAACATTAACCCATCATTCCTATTCTGCCCCTCTTTATCCTCTCAGAAGAAGGCAGCACACTGAAACGTGGTGACACACTGACACTCGTGAGACAGAACTGATGCTCTTTACTCAGAGCACCTGCACAGGCACAGCACCTACGAGCTGAGGCAGCATTAGCACACCCTGTGGCACAACACAACACGAAGCTAAATTCCACTCGTAGGAAGTCCCTAGGCAGAAAATCTCTGTTGTGACTCACTGAGAAGTTTATTGCTAAAAGGCAACATTCTCAGTGAAAATGAAAGAAGAAATCTACAAGAAAACTACAAGAAATCCATGTGAAACGGTAGAATTAGGAAACCTTTCCTTCTCTCAATCAAGCCTAAGAAAATTCAGAACAGGTTTGGTTTGAACCGCTGATACCAACAGGTATTGATGTCCCCACCCCTCAAAACACACAGTGGGGCTTGAACTCGAGCTGTCAGAGTGCCAGTGTGATTTCAGCGCTCCGTGCAGCATTCTGGCTCCCTGTAACATCCCCGATGCACGTCAAGGTCACGGTGCTCATCTGGAGAGTCCTCAGCGGGTCAGACCCAGGTTAGCGGATCCCTCCTCTCGCGGAATGCAGGGAAAGCAGCACAATGACCACGGGCACATCCAGCAATGTCAGCTTGGGCGCCGCCAGCAATACCGAGCCCATAGCGGGACACGGTGAGCCCCAAAGCTTCGGGAGACACGGCCACGCACACAGGAGCACCATTTGCACCCCGCCAAAAGGAGAAACTCTCAGCCTCCCGCCTGCAACCCGCACACCACGGAGTTATCCCAGGGTACAGCGGCGGAAGGAAGCGCTCGCTCCCTCCATAGAGCCCTCCAGGGACCGGGGCTGGTTATCCCGTGCGGCCGGACAGGCACCGCTGGCCCCGGGCAGGATGCCGTGCCCAGCCCCGGGAGGCACCGGACTCCCGAGGCGGCCGACACCCTCCGTGCTTTCCCCGGAGCCCGGCCCGCCGCAAGGCCGTGGCTGCCTTCGCACCTCGGCCCCCGCCCGACACCGTCACGGCCGGTCCCCGGTACCGCCCGGCGGGGCCGCTCCCTCCGGCGGAGCCTCTCAGCGCTTGGGGCGCCCCCGCCCCTGCCGTGCAGAGCGCAGCGAGGCCGCTGCCCGCCCCTCCCGCGGCGGCAGCCCCGGGCATCGCCGCGACCCCCGTGCCGGGCAGGAGCGGTGCCGAGGGGCGGCCGCCGCCCGGGCCCCCGCCCTGCCCTGCCCTCACCTCGGGCCGTCCCGCCTCCCCCCGCCGAGGAGGTGGCCGCGTCCGCCCCTGCACTGCAGCTGCCGGCACGCCGCCCCCCCATCCCCACCGCCCCTCTCGGCAGTTGGTTCGCCCCACCCGGCCCATCTTCTCATTGGCGGCACCGGGCCGTCACTCCGCCGCTGGCCCGCCCAGCCCCGCGGGCACGCTGGGAACCCGAGTCCCGCGCGCGGGACTCTCTCCCTTCGGCTGGAGGCGCCGGGTGGGGCGGCAAACTACATCTCCCGCAGTGCCTCGCGCGCAGCGCGCAGCCTCGGCACGGCCCGGCCCGGTGCGGTCCCCGGTCCCGCATCTCGCAGGCCGCCAGCGGGACGCTCCCTCCGTCCCTCCCTTCCCCTCCCGTGCCCGCCGCGGCGCGGCGCGGCCCGGCTCACCTGGCCCCGCCGCCGCCGGCGCCTCCCGCTGCGGCCGGCGCAGGCAGCGCATGCCCCACGCCCTTCAGTGCGGCTCGTCGGGCGCGGTGCCGCCGGCCCGGCGCGCTGCGGCTGCGGCTGTAGGACGGGCCGGCCCCGAGCGCATCCTCCCCCTCGGAGCCGCGGCGGGCGGCGGGATTCGCCCACAATGCACCGCGCGCCGCACCGACAGCATCAGCCTGACATCACCCGCGGGCCGTCCCCGCCCGGCCGGGCCCGCCCCGGGCCCGCCTCCGCCGTCAGGCGGCACCGGGCGGCGGCGGGCGGCACACGCGGCCGGGCACCGCAGCGCGCCGGGGAGCAGCGCCCTGGCGTGGGACTCGGCCCGGGACAGGGAACGGGAACGGCACGGCGCTGCCCCGCCCTGGGACCGGGAACGGGGCCGGCAGCGGCAGTGCCAGCGCGATCGCGGGCCCTGCCAGGTCGGGACCGGTGCCTGTCTCTGCGCTGGTGGCATCAGCGCTGGCATGGCCAGCACGGCCCCGGGCACTGCGCTGCCCTGGGAGCGCGGCCAGCGCTGGCACGGTCTGCGCAGGGCCGGGTGACTGCGCTGCTGGGACCCAGGCCAGAGCCGGCACATCTGCCTGAGGCTGGGCTGTGCATTGCACAGGGACCGGCAGCGACACCACTGAGAGCCCTGTGCTGGCAGCGCAGTCAGCTCAGCAGTGCTGACCTGCGGCTTTTTACTCCAGTCCTCTGGGGCCGGGGCCAGGAAGGGACTGGTGCACTACAGTGTGCTGCAAATGGCAGCATCACCACAGGACACTACACTGGGACCAGGACCAGCACCGCTGGCACTGGCCTGGGCACTGCACCCCTAGGATCAGAACATTCCCCATCCATACTGGGCCAGATCTTGCCCTGCCAGGGCTGGGAACAATGCCAGCAGCTCACAGCTGGGTGCAGCACCCAAAAAAGGCTCAGACAGGTGAGCCTGTCCCTGCATGCAGCTGGGCAGTGTGCCTGTCCCTGAGCAGTTCCCCTACCCTGAGGGGCACAGCTCCAGAGAGGTGCATTCTCCCTGCTCCAGCTCACTGTGGATCATGTTGTACATGGAGCACAGAGTAGCACGTGGCTCCTCCAGATGTGCTGTGCAACGCTCATGGCTGTGCCTTCTTGTTCCCTTTCCACTGCAAACCATCCATGTTCATGCCTCTGTCCCAGACTGTGTATGGGCACTGTTCTGTGCCTTATTCACCTTCACAAAACACCGCTGCCAGACCCTCCCTGCCACACTCTGGTGCCTCTCCCTGTCCCCATCAGTGTCCCCATCAGGCCCAGCCTGGTGTTCATCCACAGAGGGAGGTTCCCATCTGCCTTGTGAGTGGGATGTCACACCAGCTTCCACAGGGCTGCTGTGCTCCCCCATCCCTTGTGGGGCACACCTCCCAGCCAGGACTTTTCCTCCCACCAGAGCAGTCCCTTGGGGCCAGGGTGGTAATAAAGGGCACTTGTGGTGACAAGATATATATATATATATATATATATATAAAATCAATATCTAATTATCTGGATATTTTTAAGTATTGTTTTTCTCCCCTATCACTCATTGGGCATTTATTACACATTCATAAATGGAAGTGCAGCAAATCTACATTTTTCACACAGTTTTGACCTTTGTTTCGGGTGTGACCAGCTCTGACAAAGATTCACATTTCAGATTAGCTCAGGGACTCCGCTCCTTCAAACCTGCTGCCGTTCCCATTGCTTTGGACACAAGGTCTGTGCTCATCTGTTAAAGTGGAACTTGAGTCACTGCATTTCAGCTTTATTTCATCCTTGGTCTAAACCTCCCTTCTGCAGATGGAGCTGAATGGGCTTAGAAACCTGCTAGAACAGCCACCTGGGAACATGTCCAATTTAATCTGCAGGCAGAAATGCAGCTGGAAATGATCAAAAGATTTTATTAAAATCTGGGTTAATTGTGGCTTGGGAGAATTTCTAACACAGACCAGCGTGTCCTTTTGCTCTGTGGTGGTGTTTTTGCCTGGCCCTGACTTTCTTTGTGGAGCCAGATGTCAGCTGTGTGCACACCATGTGGGAAGACCATTGGAAAGGACAGCGAGGAGCAGATCAGTGCTAACCAGGTGACAGTCCTGGATTCCACAACTTTACTATTCTTCTTTTTAGGTCACTAAAAATAGGAAAAACAGAGGGATGAGCAATTGAGAAACATAGCACCTCATTGAGTAAGTCTTTTACATACTGACAGTATTGTATTTGCAGGGTGCTCTGTGGCAGGGAGGAATGATGAATCTGACTCCACGTTCTTAGAAGCCTAATTTATTATTTTATGATACTATATTATATAAAAGGATACTAAACTAAACTATACTAAAGAATACAGAAAGGATCCTTACAGAAGGCTAAAAGATAATAATGAAAACTCATTACTCCCTCCAGAGTCTCGACACAGCTTGCCTTGATTGGTCAAAAGTCAAAACAATTCACATGAAACCAATGAAACAATTTACCAACCACCTGTTGGTAAACATTGTCCAAACACATTCCAAAGCAGCAAAACACAGGAGAAGCAAATCAGATAATTATTGTTTTCCTTTTTTCTCTGAGGCTTCTCAGCTTCCCAGGAGAAGAATCCTGGGCAAAGGGATTTTTCCAGAAAATATGACAGTGACACTGACAGGAATCAGAGATAAGGCCAATAAGTAACTGCTGGTAGCAATTAGGAATAGGAGTAGAGAGATGTGGAAATTTGGGGGTTTTGGGTTTGGGTTTTTTAAGGGTTTTTTTCCTTACAGTTCCAGCACCAGCCTTTCCTGGCACACTCAAAATACTTAAAAATGAGAATTGCTGTGACACCCCTTGGTTCTCAAAATGTCGACAGCCTGATGTGCCAGCCTTCACTCCCTCATTCAGAAAGTCGTGGGTAGAGCAAGTAGGCATTGCAAAATCTCAAGGACTCTTTTCCTCTCTCCTCATCTCTTTTTGAGGCAAGAAAGGAGATTTGGGGGCTTGTGCTTGGGCTCAGCAACCCATCTCCCTGGGGTGATCAGGCTGGATTTGGGTTGTGTTGCTGCTGGCCATGGTTTTCTCTGAGGAAAAAGGCAGCCAAAATTTGAGAGCAGGGGACGTTCTGGTGAATCATGAGCAAAACAGAACTTGCTGGCAGAAGAGGGAAATCAGCCTTGGTGGAAGAAAACCAGAGAGGGATTCTCAGATTTCAAAGGCTGCAAATAAAGCAGGTAAGCTTTAACGCCAAATATTCAAATTCATGCTTGGTTTTTTTTTTTTTTGTTGTTTTGGGTTTTTTTGGTTTTTTTTTGTTTGTTTGTTTTTTGTTTTGTTTTTTTTTGTTTTGTTTTGGTTTTTTTTTGTGGGGGGTTTTTTTTTGGGTTTTTTTTTTTGGTTTGTTTTTTTTTGGTTTTTTTTTTTTGGCAACTCGTTTGTTTGTTTTGTGAAATAGCATTCCTCTGAAATCCTGAAAGGGGTAGGACTTGCGTATGAGTCATCTTTACTAGGAAACTTTTGAGCAATCCTTGGGCAAACCAAGTGAAGGCTGAAGTGCTCTCCGTGCCCCTGTCTGGCACCAGGTGGCACACGTGCTGCTGCTTGCAATTTGGGGCTTGGGCAAACCGAAAGTGACAGGCAAAACACAAGCAACATCGAACTACAGCAGCCATGGACTAATGCCAACTTTACAAGGAAATTAAAATTGTATTTATTCTTGCTTTTTGCCTATAAAACACAGTAGAAAAGTTCAGCAGTGTCTGAAAGTCTCACACAAAAATCACAAAAAAGTGCCTGGTGATATATTTAGGACAGAAAAGCACCATTTGTTTCTACCACTGCCAGAAGAAGCTTCATAGCATATAGAGTTAAGTTTTTAAATCTTGAACTTGAAATGTGTTTTGCCTGCCCAAACCCTGGGGGTGAGTTGAGTTGATGTTCAGGTAGTTTGGCACTTCTTAAGGATGCCCAAACCACTCTGAGCTTTCAGACTCTGTGCTGGGAGGCTGGACCAAGCTATCTAAAAGAATTCGTGCCAGAAAAGAGCGTGTCTCTGCTACAGACAAGGAATAAGCTCTGTGCTACCTGCTGTAAAACCTTGCTACTCGTTTTTGAGGGTTGGCACCATGAAGTTGGGGTGAAATCTTAGATTAATGTGCAAGAAGAAGTGTTGTGATCCCAAAGCCAGGAATTCCACGTTAAGGATGGTGCTGGCAGGGCTGCCAACTAAAAAAGGGATGTGTGCCCTGCTTAGAGACACCACCTCATTTTGAGCAGAGGGGAACAGGGTTTTGACCACTGTGTGTAGGGTGGTGTAGGAGGGCACAATGTGTTTGCCACCTACCCAGGAGCACAAGTACTGTGTGTGCATGAGGAGTGTGTGCTCAGTGTCTGCGCCCGTGGTGCTGGACACCAGCTGTAGATAGGACAGCGCATGTATGTGCTGGGAGCTGCTTTTTATGTTAAAGTGCCTGGCTGAACCTGGCTGTATCCTCACCCCTGTTGTGGCGGCGAGGATGTGAACGGGGGCGCAGCCCTGCCCGCACATCCGTGCAGGTGATATCCCCACAGGGCAAAGGGCTGGGTCTCTCCCTCTGGGTGCAGGCGTATCTCTCGGGGTGTCCCCGGGTGTGGAGTGTCCCTGGGTGCAGGGTGCTCCCGGGTTGCGGGGTGTCCCTGGGTGCCGGGTGTCCCTGGGTGCGCGGTGCTCCCGGGGGTGTGTGCGGGGTGCGGCGCTCCCGTTGCCGCCCCGCCGGGGCAGCCCCTCCCCGCAGGCGGTCTCTCTCTCTCTCTATTTCTCTCTCGCTCGTTCGGTCGTTCCCCTCGCTCTCCCGGTCCGGGCGGGCGCGGCGGGGACAGCGCTGTGTCCCCATGGCGCTGGCGGCCGCCCGAGCGCGGACTCTGCGCGCCCTCAGCCGCCCGCGCCCCCCGGGCCGTGTCCCGGTGCCGGTGCCGTCCCGGAGCCGCTGCAGCCCGGCGGGGGCTCCCGGGGCGCTGCCGCCCGGCGGGTACCGGGCCTGGCGGGAGCGGGCGGCCCGCGACCCCGCCGGGTTCTGGG